TTTGTCTAAGCTGTTTTAGCTCCTTCACTTTTAAGCTGACTTTTCTCTGATTGGCTGCCCCTCACTATCAAGGCTTTTGTTGCACATGTTAGAGATATTTGCCCTCCATGACATCATTAAGGTCAAAGAGTAGGAAAATAAATAATTGAAACTGAGTATTTAGAGCAGTCTGAGGCTACAGCGATTACTCACACATACACTGTCCTCATTATTTGAAGCTCTGGTGCATGTTTCATATGAACATCCACCACGAAACAGGATATGTATGACAGAAAAAACACTTTAACATTTCTTATCTGTGAAACTAAAATGGTGAATAATCTTGCCTGATGCTCGGTAGAAAAGCCTGTATATATGTAGCCACCTTCTGTTTTTTTTAGGAAAATCATGAAGCTGAGCAATTTGGCCATCACCTATCTGTTGTTTTGAAACTGAGTGGCACTGATTACCTCTTATTTCTGACTCGAACACAGATAAAAAGCAATAAAATTAAGTTCATGTTTAATTAGCAAGATGTGAAAATACAGATTTTAGTGAAAAAACGCACCAAGAGAGTTTATTTTATTAGTTTATTATTTATTTTATTTATTAGTTTTTAGTTTATTTATTTATCACTGAGCAGGGGAAGAGGCTACCTCACAGGTTACCCCTGCTGGTCATTAGTAAGAATGCAGCTTTTAGACTCTCCTGTCTTTTACGTTGACTGTGCCACATCGTGCAAAAAATGTCCTGACAGAGCTGCTTTCATTCACCAGAAGATGGCGCAGTGGGGCCAGCTTCAGATGCTGGACAGCAAGTACCTGGAGCAGGTGGATCAGCTGTACGATGACTCGTTCCCCATGGACATCCGGCAGTACCTGAGCAAGTGGATCGAAAGCATCGACTGGTAAGAAGTCCGAATAAAGGGCAGCGTCTTTTTTTTTTTTTTTTGGCACACGTTTCTCATCGACTCGTTTGAACCATTAAAAAGTTGTTTTTATAGTAATACCTGTACCGATCTACCTGAATTTTTTTATCTGGCATATCCCCTCCATACAATAAAAAGAGGAAAAGTTAAACTGGATGTCCTGATGGAAAAGAAAACTGTAGGTGCATTTGTATCGGCATCGTAGACCAAACAGAAGCGAGCTCACACTTGTGGACGTGGATCTGGATCTATGGTCCTGCACTTGAAAACAACAGGGTCACCAAGGATATGGAAAGCTTCACGACATTGTATCCACAATGCAGGGATTGTGCATATTGAGAGTTTTGGTTCAGCTGCACAAAGTTAATTACATGTGGGGGGAAAAGTCCTCACAGCCCATAAAATCCTTGTTGTAAAAGTGCAGAAATACCTGTCCTTCGTCATCATTTCAGCATCTGTTCATTAACGGTTCCATTGCTAGATTTTTATCAGACCAAAGCAAAAGTGTTTGAGCTAATGAGACTGATAATCATGGACTTCTCAATATTTGAATAAAGGTTTTGTTGAAGCACAGCATTTGCTGAAAACCAATTTGTAACCCTTTCAAGGTTAACCCCAAACTGAGCGTCTTCTGTTCATGCTACTCAAAGAGTTACTGTGGTCTCCTCAGGGACACGGTGGCCGTGCAGGACTCTCTGGCCACCGTTCGTTTCCACGACCTTCTCGCTCAGCTGGACGACCAACACAGCCGCTTCGCTCTGGAGAACAACTTCCTGCTGCAGCACAACATTCGCAAGATCAAGAGGAACTTGCAGGTCCGACCCTGGATTGGAAACACTTCTGTGTGAGGCAGGTTAAATTCCTTTATGTAACTAAAAGTACGAGCGGTTCTCTCTCCAGGATCGCTTCCAGGAAGATCCCGTCCACATGGCCATGATCATCTCCAGAAACCTGAAGGAGGAGCTGAAGATACTGGAGATTGCAAAGAGCACCGAGGTAAAAGCTGCAGCTCGGTTTCGTTGTTAGAACATAACTATAACATCAGAATAACACCTGACAGATCTAAATCCTTCCATTAATCACACTCTGGCTTTAAATACACATTTACTTTTAGGCTCACACATCTGGGGTTTAAGTTATAAACGAGTGTTCAGGATTCAAACAGCTTATAGGTGGATTACAGCCAGCTTCTGGTGCTGGTAGACCATCATAAATCCTACCAGATGCAACTTAATGCAAGAGAAAAGATGCTTTCAAGACAAAAATAGCTGAACAAATGATAAGAATTGTATTACTTTTCCAACTTAATGGCTGCTTGAATGCTCTAAAATCATGCTGATGCACGGTGCGTACATGTCTGCATGCTCTATGACTCAAAGCCCAATATGCACACAGGGACGGAGTTCTCATTCTTCAAAATGAAAAACCAACAGAAACAACCTCAGAATCAGCTTTTTTTCTTATGTACTATAACTTTAGTGCATTAAATAAACCATTTCATCTTCATGCTATTTATATTCTCTTACTCTCACAGAGTAAAAAAATAAAATCATCTTTTTTTTGTTTTTTTTCCCAGTAATTTTTCATCGTTCCACTCTTACACAGAAATTTCTGTTTCACAGCCACAAGCCATAATCAGAACATTAAAGCGACCTTCTCCTAGATCTAAAAGATAGAAAGGATCTACTTCATTACACCCCTTATACCTATTATTTTGTCATGTATAAAACTGCAACGCTTGTGGGATAAATTACTTTTAATTTAAAAGGAAATACCATCTGTCCATCCATCTATCTTCTTCCGCTTATCCGGGGCCGGGTCGCGGGGGCAGCAGCCCAAGCAGAGATGCCCAGGCCTCCCTCTCCCAAGCCATCTCCACCCACCTCCTCCACTTATCTGGAGGAACACCAAGCCATGCCAGCTGTGTCCTGGGTCTGCCCTGGGGCCTCTCCCGGTGGGACATGCCTGGAAAAGGAAATACTTGCCTGTGATATCCTCATCGATCCCAGAGTGATGTTTTTGGCCCTGATGAGAAACTGGCTAAAATTTGCTCCTCTGCAGACAGATCAGTGGACAAAACTATGACCCAAGTGATACGTCTACAAGTCAGAACACATGTCAAATACCTGAAAAGTCTGAACACCTTAAAACTACAGCAAGTGTTCCTTCTTTATTTAGCATGTTTTACGATTCTCGGTTTTCTTCCCTCTTCTTTGTTTTTACTTTTAAATGCCTTATCTAGAAATCTGATCAAACATGAGGGTAGCAGCACGGGTTTCTGTTCATCTACACCACATACATTAAGATTGATGCAGTTTTGCTATCAAAACGATGATATACTCCGTGATAATGATGCTTAATGTTAGCTAAGGAGAGCAGATTTTGTCTTAAGATTGAGACACTTGGAGTGGGTGTAATCTTGATCTGATGTTGTTGTTTAGCAGAACTTTAACCTCTATGTCTAAATTAATACCTGAATTCAGTTTTACTTTTCAAGATCCCAAAGAGTCTAAACCTGTTTCTGTTTCGGAGACGTTAAAATGTGTGACGTTTGTTTCGGTAGGATGAGACCGATGGGGCAGTGTCGGCCATGGTGGTAGAGAAACAGAAGCTGGACAACAAAGTGAAAGAGATGAAGCACATAGTCCAGGTAAAACTATACGCCGGGTGTAGGTCCCAGCTCGAGGTTGGCCCGGCTCTGCTGGAAAATCTCTAACGGGCTCGGTTCCTTTGACTTTTTCAGGTGGTGGATCAGAACATTAAGAACGTAGAAGACCTGCAGGACGAGTACGACTTCAAAGTCAACACACTGAAGAACAGAGGTGAGGAAATCAGCAAACTCGTCCAGGCTCAGCTGTAGAGCCAAACCCCAAAATGTGATTGCAGTGATTTGGATGGCTGAGGAAATACTTTTGGTAATACAGTGAAGATCAACATGTCAAGGGGCAATTTGAGTTCTTGGAGGCAGAGAAATAATTTCAGAAAGCTGACTGAGTTTTGAGGTTTTGAGCTAAAGTGCACTTGTTGCCAAATGCGGTGATCTGATTGGTCAGATTTGTTTATTCTGATCTTAAAAAATTGGAACAAAGTAGCTTGTGTTGGTAAAATTACAGAGTGAAAGGGCTTTTCCAAACTGACATATATTAAATGGTCTTAAAACTTCATATTAACATTTAATCTATGTTGCTTCCAAGTTTTAATTGTGTGGATTTTTTTTTCCTTCTTCCTCCGCAGAGAATGAAATGAACGGCATGACGGTGAAGGAGCTGGAGAAGGAGAAGATGACAGTCGGGAGGATGTGCTTTGAGCTGAAAGCCAAGCGTCAGGTGACTAGAAACACGACTAACATATAATCCCTTTGAGGTCACTGGGTTGTAACAATAAAGTCATTTTGATCTTATAAACTTTCTTTCTGAGGAGTTTTAAACGCCATAACAGGACATTTGATGTGACTGATGCGATGGACTCTTGGGTGTGGGTTTTTTTTGTTTTGATTTTTTTAGGACGCTGTGCTCGGGCTGAACGAGCTGCTGAACGTCACTCAGGCCCTGCTGGCAGAGTTGATCTCTGAGGAGCTGCCCGACTGGAAGCAGCGTCAGAAGATCGCCTGCATCGGTGGCCCGCCCAACGCCTGCGTGGACCAGCTGCAGAACTGGTGAGCCGCCCTCTCCATCCCATGTCTTTCTCTTTAACCGCCTCTTTCTTCACTTCCTCTTCTGCTTAGCCATCAATCTTAGTATCTTTTTCATTCTTCCACCTATATTTAATATTTCCCTCACCTTCCTCATCGTCTACCTCTTAATTTTTCCATCAGTTTTTTTTCTTTAGTTCATTTTGATTAAACACCTGCGAGGATGTCAACCTGTTTGAGAAGAAAGGTTAAAGGGGTTTAATAAGATGTTAAAATAGTTTGATAAAAGATGTTACATGGTAGATAAACAGATGAAAGGGGTCACTAAACGATATGGAAAGATCCTAAATGGAGGAGATAAATGACTGAAAGTAAATGGAGAACCAAAAGTAATCCAAGGTCCAGTTCATGAACAGTTCCTCGGTCGACTGGGTGCTTCATCTGTTGACAACCTTTTATGTTGGTGTGTTAACTGATCTTCTGTCCTCGCCCTCCTGCAGGTTCACGGCAGTAGCGGAGAGTCTGCAGCAGGTCCGTCAGCACCTGAAGAAGCTGCAGGAGCTGGAGCAGAAGTTCACTTATGAGAACGACCCCATCACAGGGAAGAAGGCTTACTTGGAAGCCCGAGCTCTGGAGCTCCTCAAAAACCTGCTCTCCAAGTATGAAAGCCTTCACTCTTTATTGTTATTATTATCATTATTATTGCTGAGCGTTATTATTGCCTGTTAACCTGGATTCTGATCTGTGTGAAGCTCTCTAGTTGTAGAGAGGCAGCCTTGCATGCCCACCCACCCACAGAGACCACTGGTGTTGAAAACAGGCGTCCAGTTTACGGTGAAACTTCGGTAAGAAGTTAAATGTGAAGTGTTTACGTGATTTCTGCCCTGACCACTAAATCATTTTTACATTTATATAATTTATAGATTAATTTATTTAATTTCTAAAAATAAATAAAACAAAACCAGTTTATTACACTCTTGGTCCTGTCGTGCTTGGTATTGATCCAATACTGATACCAACATTGGTATCCATACTATCTATACATCCCTGAGCTTGCTCTGCTGGAGGTTTCTTCCTGTTAAAAGAGAGTTCTTCATCCCACAAAATAAATAAAATAAGAATTTTTCCTTCTTTGTTTTGTACCCAAATGAATTGAAAACGCAGAAATTGCGTCAGGTGATGTTTATCCGTTGGTGTGCGTCAGCTTCCTGTTTCAGTCTCGTTTCCTTTCTGTTCAGGTTTCTGGTGAAACTGCAAGAGTTTAACTACCAGCTCAAAGTCAAGGCCCTGTTTGATAAGTAAGCAAATTCTCACCTTTGCTTTTGCCGCTTTGAATCATCATGCTGCCATGTTTCCAAGTATGTAACACTTTTTTTTTTCTCCTCAGGGATGTTACAGAGAAGAAAGGGTGCGTCTGAAATCCATTCATACACATTGAAATATGTAACGTGTTATTCAGTAACGCAGCTGATTAATAGCTTTCCATTGATCATCTTTGAATCAGGTTCAGGAGGTTTAACATTTTGGGGACAAACACCAAAGTCATGAACATGGAGGAGTCCAACGGCAGTCTGGCAGCAGAGTTCAGACATTTGGTAAAATCAGTGTCTTAGTATTAAACCCACAGTATTCCCTTCCACTGGTTATATATTGTTTTTATTATATAGGGAGATTTCTTAGACACCCTAATAGTGACGCTTTTCCAACTTAATCTCCATACAGCAACTCAAAGAACAGAAAGGACCTGGAAACAGAACAAATGACGTAAGAGCCTTTAAAACTTTATTCTATATAATACACAAACCTGCTCTGTGTGTTTGAGACTGCAGGTCACATACTGGCTGTTTTACAGTCATCATAGAGGCCTTCAATATGCAACAGACTCGTCTACCTGGATGTTTTTTCTTCCTCTTCTTTAGCTGTAGGAGCGCGCCCTCCTTCTCTGCGCTTATTCTTTTGTGTGGTGGAATATAACCATTAATTTAGTAATGCTGTCCAGGCCGAATGTCACATGAAAATCACCGTTTCAGCTTCCCAGGGCATGTTAGTGCGAATGCTTCAAAATAAAAGTTCTTTAGAAAAAATTGAAGGGATTTTATAGAACTAACAGTGGCCTAAAAAATCATTTTATATGTAATGCACACTAGGAAAAGATAAGAATTCATTGTCCCGCATTACAGCTTACATAGCTATATGAGGAACCTTGTTCCACTTTATATGTAACCTCTGTAAATGTGACGTAAGGACAGATATGGACACATAGTTTGTTTTGCTGGAGAAAGATTGTAAACTACATTTGATGTGGTGGTAGATTGGTGATGTAGAGTGAAGTTTAGTTACAGGAACGTTGCATGCTTCCTGCAGAGGCTTGGGGAAGGGTCTTGTGTGTTTTGGGTAAGCTGAGTGTGTCTCTGGGTGTTCAGGGTCCTCTGATCGTCACCGAGGAGCTCCACTCGCTCAGCTTTGAGTCGGAGCTGCAGCTCAACCAGTCCGGACTCGACATCAAACTTGAGGTGAGACCCGCCTCCTGCCCTTTGTTCATGCTCAGAATTAAACTGGAGTTGATAGAGGAGATTAAACCCTGCTGCTTCCTCCTGTCGTTTTTTTATTTCTAGGCCATTTCTCTGCCCGTGGTCGTCATCTCCAACGTCTGCCAGCTTCCCAGCGGCTGGGCCTCCATCCTCTGGTACAACATGCTGACCACGGAGCCCAAAGTGAGAACACGCTTTGATTTCAGTCCGCTCCTAGCACCTCCACGTACCCTCGTTTTTGTCTCTTATCGATCTCCAACTGTCATGTTTTCCAGAACCTGAAGTTCTTCCTCTCCCCTCCTGCGGCGAAGTGGTCTCAGCTCTCCGAGGTGCTCAGCTGGCAGTTCTCCTCCGTCACCAAGCGAGGCCTGAACCAGGAGCAGCTCAACATGCTCGCTGATAAACTGCTCGGTGAGACGCACAAAAATAACATGTGGTAACGTTTTAAGAAAATTTAAGGCCACTAAATATCTTTTAAAGTCTCTGTTTTATTCATAACAGGCTTAAACCTTAACTATAACTAAAGATCTTAACCCTCAATCTGTCGTTTCTTTACTACTGATGAAATATAAGATGATCCGAGGCTCAGAAAGCTGCAGACCAAAACGAATGGCTCAAAGTCAACAAACTGTCACTGCTGTGCTAATAAACTTCTACCTGCAGCACACATGAATAACCTGCAGATGTTTGTACCTGGTTGTTTTTCTGTGAAGGAACCAAAGCTCAGAGGAACCCGGAGGGACTCATCCCCTGGACCAAGTTCTGCAAGGTGAGCCATAGTCTGATAAGCCTCATTTATCCAGCTGATAATGATTTAATTTATATTCACAACCAGGAGACTCAGAGGGCAACGTAACAATCACAAAGGTTAAAACTTAAAAAAAAAAAATGCAATTATGCAGGTGTTGATGTAAAAGTTACAAATAAAAGTCCGTAAAGACTGTTTGATACACTGTGCTGCCAAAAGTACTCACTCGTCTGCCTTCACACACATATATCAACTTGAGTGACGCCCCATTCTTAATCCATAAGGTTTGATATGATGTTGGCCCTTTGCAGCTATAACAGCTTCATCTTTTCTGGGAAGGCTTTCTATAGGTTTAGGAGTGTTTTGAGGAATTTTTTACTATTCTTCCAGAAGCACATTTGTGAGGTCAAACTGTTGATTTGAGGACAGGACTCTGTGCAGGCCAGTCAAGTTCTTCCACACCAAGCTCACTCATCGATGTCTTCATTGACTTTACTCTGTGCACTGGTGCACAGTCATGTTGTACCAGGAAGGGACCATCCGCAAACTGTTCAAAGCTGAGAACATGATATTGTCCGACATGTGCTGAACCCTCTTAGTTCCTTTCACTGGAACTAAGGGTCTGAGCCCAACTCCTAAAAAACAACCCACATCATAATAACCGCTCCAACAAACTTTACACTTTGCACAATGCAGTCAGACAAGTACCGTCTAGACCAGGGGTCAGCAACCTGTAACACCCAAAGAGCCATTTGGACCCGGTTTCCATGCAAAAGAAAACACTGGGAGCCACAAATATTTTTTGACATCTAAAATGAAGATAACACTGTATATGTTGTTTTTTACCTTTATGCTTTGTGTGAACAACTAAAGTGTGTTGCTTATGAAATCCATGAAGTGCTACAGAGAAAACTGCATTTTATTTATGTAATTAACACATTTTGAACTCTTAAAGAAATATAA